CCTCTCCATGTCGTCATAAACATTTCATTTGAAAGAGAAGGCGGCATTATTGTGCCCAGGGGTTACATTGTATGCAAACAGGTATGCATTAAAGGGAATTCTCCTAAGCCTTATGAAACTAGCAGCTAGCGGTCTGTGCGACTTTCTTTTAGACAACAAACCAAGTCACGGGGAGTCAGCTCTTTTCTGCTTCCGTGAATTGGAAGCAGATTTTCTTGAATCAGCTAATCCCCTTCTCCAGATGAACGTGATCAAGTTGGCGCCCAGAGGCTCACTGAGGGTAGGTGAGCAAGTGTATGCATTGAGAGAACATTTACGGAGCACCTGCTCTGCCGGGATTTGTGCTAAGTGATAAAGAAGTCGTGGCCCGTGCCCTGTAATAGAATTATACTACAGAGAGCTGAGTGTCACCCTGGGCAAGTGAGTTAATAGTATGGGAATGCAAAGGGGAAGTCAGGAAAGGCTTCGTGAGAAGGTTGTCCATCCGAAAAGGAGGAAGGAGATTAGGGGGCAGAAGGAAGAGCTTCTACAAAGACCAGAAGAGGTAACGACAAAAGTGCTAGAGCCATCAAATGGCACCATCGGATGATTATGTGCCGTGCTGTATACCAAATCGTCCGCCGACTGCTATAAGGTGCGTCATCTCACTGAATTCCCTGACGTGCTGCAAAGAGTAGGGAGTATTACGCCTGGTTTTCAGATGATGTTGGGAGAGACTGCACTGCTGGGCCAAGGTCAGGGGTCACAAGTGGAGAACTGAGATTGTCCCCCAGGTCTGCCATCCCCTGCCCCTCCCATCCCCACCCCATGCTTTCTCCCATATCTTACTGCTTGGTGTGGCTGGAACATAGAAGATGAAGCTGGAGAGGTATAGGGGACAGATTGCAAAAGGACTTTTCACGCTGTGTTATGGAGTTTGGACTTTTTCCTGTAGGCAGTGGGAAGCCGGCAGAGACTTTTAAGTGGATATTGATTCTGTTACTGATGGGAGATGGATGGGAGAAAGACTCTATGTCGGACTGCAGCCCGGAACCATGATTCCAGCGCTGCCCACCCAGCTCTCGCCCAGCTCCCTGTANGACCTTGCTTGCGGTAACCTGCTATGGATCAGTGGAACTGAGGTTTGGAGCTGCCTGGCTCTAAAACTGTAGGTTTCCAATGTTCCAGGATTGCTTAGGGGAATTTGTTAAAAATGAAGATTCCTGGGCCCTGTCTTGAGCTGCCCTGGCTCAGAAGGTCTGGAGTGGCGCCCAGGACTTTGCATCTTAACAAGCACCCCACTCCGACACAGGTTACCAGAGCCAGCCCTTGCTGTAAAATCTCGGGTTTTGATCCCTATCCTAGATGACATCATTTCTAAGGGCATTGGAGGCAGCTTCCCAAAAACCATTTTTTGGATAAGATAAACAGAAGTTCTCTGGATAAAGAGAGGTCATACAGGAGCGTGCGTGAGGGCCTGCAGCGCCGGATTCATGTGCAGGCATTGAGCTCCTTTGCAGCCCAAGCCGAGGGTGACACAGGGTCAGCCACGTGATGCATCCAGCTCCTAACGTACAACACACCATCAGAAGCACAGCTAGTGTGTGCATTTTGGTCTGAGGGCTCCTCAAGAAGACCCCATGCTGTAACTCACAAATGCCCCTGAGTCCATTCCCTAGGAGCACCATAGGGGCTGTGTCTTCAGGGCAAGCCCAGGTGCCATGCCAACACAATTCAGTAGAAACTGACCGGGAGAAATCCACACCGAACCGTGTCAAGCCTGCTTTTCTTTATCTGCTGAGGTGAGGTTCTGCTTGTTGTGGAACTGATCCCCTGGCTCCTTGTTAGATCGCTGGCCCGCCTCAGCTGCGCTCCATTCTCTCTCATTCCTCTCTCCCTTGCCTGCAGGTCCTCCTGCCCCGGAGAGAAGAGCCCAGCGGGGGGCCCCTGCTTTAATGACTAGGATGCTTGCCTTTAAAGTTTGCAGAGCCCTCGGCCTCCAACCAGTGGCCAGTTTGGCCCTTCTTCCTTCGGCATGCAAGAAGAGCTGCTGTCTGGTTGAGTGAGCTCTGCTATAAATCAAAGTGTCACCACTTAGCCAGTAGAAGTGATTTAATTAATCCGCTGTGTTGTCCCCTGAGCATCACTCCACCTGACTGCTAATCAACTTCCATCAGCAGGAGGAAAATACAGGCCCCCTTTTTTCTGAGCCGCATTGCATGAGATGAAGGAGGTGCGGGAGGGGGAGAAAAAGTTAATTGCAGCAGGGAGCTCAAACTGTCACAAGAAGAAAGTCTCTTGTCTGGCATCTGCCGCTTTTATACACTGTCGTCCCAGTCTTGGGTGAGCTGCAGGAGAGGACCGTGTTTTAGTGATATTAATATAGACATTATCTATTGTCCATATCTATTTATCAGAAATAATATCTTGCCTGGAAACCCATGACAGCTGGCATATTGCAGAAAGGAACTGTTCTTTTGTCATGCACCCAGTAGTGAGACCTTAAAGAAAAACACACAGAAAAACACACAGAAGCTTCACTGATAATCAGATAAGACTGAGAGTTTATGTATCTCTCTCTTGGGCACAGGAACGTTTTTGACAGATGACCATCCCAATTTCTGTCACTTTCAGGTGAACCACAAGCAAGCCATTTCTCTGCACTGTAATTAGGCAGATCTGGTTAATGCTGCAGTGCTTTGAAGGTGAAACGAGCTATTGTAATGAGAACCCCAAGTTCAGAATACTTGAAAGCTTCTTTAAGAGCCTTAAATTTCCTCGAATCTCTTCATGGGTCCATAGATTGGAGAAACNCATCTTAGCTGTTGAGGGCAGTGTCACTGGCCCTCATATGTGGGATCCGAACCGGGGCCCTCTGGCATCCCAAGCCAGCTCTTAACCAACGCACCACTCGGCCGGCCCCCAAGCTCTGTTTTTAAGATTACATTGAAAAACAAATACTATTGCAAATAACCTGTATTTTTTTTTTTTTAACAGAGTAAAGTTTGGCGAAGGGACATTACTTGCACAAGGTGACACAGCTAGTAAGCGGGCAGACCTGGGACTAGGACTGAATGTGGAGTTCAGTGTTTTTCTCTTATAGACTGTTTTGTGTGTGTGATACTCAGTGAGAAAACTTGAAATCTTTTCCTCTGATTAATTCGAGGGAGTCAAAGACTCACAGTCTTCTAAAGTAAACTGTTCTAAGAATCAATCAATAAAAATTTAAGAGCCACGGGTTTTATTTAACTCCACAAATTTGGGAGAAGAGAGAGGCAGTTTAAATAAAGAAAACTTGCCGGAATTCACTCTCTTTCACAAGCAGATGCCACCACGAATATTGCCAGGGCAACATGTTATTAAATAAGACAGCCAATTAGAATTGCAGACCTTTCAGAGGTTAGAAGTTAATTTCTCGGTCAGTACCAACACACTCTGGGGTTGTGATTTCACAAGACTCCCTGTTGGAAATGACATTTGCATGAGTCGATTTATGATGCAAAAGGTGAAATCTTGATGAGCTTTCTTTCACTAGGAATTAGAAAGACCTGTGATTTCAGGGCTACTGGCAGTTAACACTGGGGAGAAAAAGTCGGAGATACTGACGCTTATAATGTGGAAATGAGAAAAGGGCAGAAAGAGAACTTCAACAAGTGGCGTTCAGGTCCCGTTATATTTTACATTTTCCTGACACAGGTGATAAGATTGCTGTGCATTTATCATTTGGGGCAGAATTTCGAAAACCATGCTGGGTTACTTGGATTTTAAAAATTAGTTGATTTAAAATTCCTGTGAAGAAAGTGAATAAGAATAGTTAGGAAGAACCCCAGAAACATTGATGATAGCATTAGAATCGTCCTCTTAATTTAGGAGACAGAATGGCATGTTTAAAATGACCACAGAAAGCACCAGTTGCCAGGTAAGCCTCAGTTTTCCAAGTGTGAGTGAGGGCTCTTTCATTCTCCTCCATTGTTTTACTGGTGCCTCCTGCTTTTGCACAGCCTTTGTTTTCCAGAGCAGTGTCTGAAAACAACCTTATACTTGAGGTCTCATTCTCGGAGGATTAGGAAGCTGGGGCGTTTGGAATGGAATGAGCTAGGAACAGCTGCTTTGCACCTGTGGGCCTGGCCATACCCCTGGGGGGGCGTGCACCTGGGAGCTCGAGTGTGCACCTGGGAGCTCGAGTGTGCACCTGGGAGCTTCCCAAGGGCACAGCAGTGTCCCTCATGTCCTTACTCACATTTTTCTTTACCACTCCCAGAAGGATGTAGAGAAATGTCTGTTTAGCAGCTCTGAACAATAAATTAGCTTTTGCAAAGAGATTCTTTCCTTAAAGTTGAACATGGATTGATTGGGTTGCGGGGGCGGTTGGGAAGTGGGTGGGAGCAGGGGTACTGATTGTGTGTGTGTGTGTGTGTGTGTGTGTGTGTGTGTGTAGATAATGGGATTTATGAGGAGTGGAGGGAATTAGGATTTTGCTTTCTTGGGTATTGGAGCCCTCGTTTTCTCTGATGCTGAGGGGTCATTGAATCCCTGGCATGTATACTTACAGCCTAAATCAATTTATAAAGATGACTTTTATTTTAAGAAATCCTCCAAACTATTAAATAACAAGCTTTTAGAAGATATTTGTAAAGAGTGTTTTTTTACATAGAAGCCTCTCACTTTCGGGAGTGAGTGCCTTGGTCTTTCCTATTTTCAGATTTTTGTTTGAAAAAAAATGACATTTTTCTTCAGGCATAGATGAGAGAATGGCTTGCATGGGTTAGAACACACAGGCGTGATTTGACATGGTGATTAAGTCAAATACACATCCGTCTAACAGGCCATTGCAGGCAGATGAGGATGTAGAGCCCACTTGTAATGTGGGAGCCCATCCATGTTTCCTGTCAGCGGCCACATGAGGAAAGCAAGCCCTCATCACACAATGTCTGATTCCTGCCTCTGGTGCTTAGGACGCTCCAGACTCCAGGTCCCATTCTGTCTCTCTCTTCTTTGCGTGCAGTGCGTGGGTTGCTGCTTACAGATCAGCCCTTCCAGGGGGGTGGGAGGGCTGCTGGTTTTCTCCTCAGGGTAGCCTCTGATTTGCAGGATACGTTTGTGAGAGGAAGGATTTGCTGGTGAATGGCTGCTGCAACATCAACGTCCCGGGCACCAAGCAGTACTGCTGCGATGGCTGCTTGTCCAACGGCTGCTGCAGCGCTTACGAGCACTGCGTCTCCTGCTGCCTGCAGCCCAACAAGGTATGGAAAGCTGCTCCTTATTCTGCATCTGCTTTCGTCATTCTGCCTTTATTGAGTGGTGAGCATTGGATTCTTCCCGTGAGAGTCTTTTGAGAACAGAACTCCGAAGGGAACTTGGTAGGTGTCAGAAATTGCTGCTGTGAAGTAGCCTTTGTCTACAAGGAGAGGAAGCGGTTCCCAGTTACTTGAACGCTTCTTTTGCAGAATGGGCCATTGTGTTGCTAATCAGATATCTAATGAATAAGATACGGGCACTCTTGCTCATTTGAGCTGGCTGTCTCCCTTTCTGTACACCTCCCCTCCCTCCATTATTAGTCTCGTAGTTTAGGAGAAATATCCAAGGTTACCTTGTGCTGCTGAGTCTGGAATTTATTACAGGTACTAACTTTTGTTTCCATAGCAACTTCTCCTGGAGCGCTTCCTCAACCGGGCAGCTGTGGCATTCCAGAACCTCTTCATGGCAGTTGAAGATCACTTTGAATTGTGTTTGGCCAAATGCCGGACCTCATCCCAGGTCAGAAGCTCTGATATTTCTATCTGGGGGATGGGCAGGTGGGAGGGAGGGAGTCGGGGGCTAAAAGAAAACTGAAAATATGACAATGGAGACATGATTATCGTATGGGTGATGATGGAGAAGAGATTCAAATGAAGCTTTGTTCTGTGGAATGATAGTGTTTAGAGTGTCAACGTGAGATTATACAGTTAGGGAAGTAAAATATTTATAGTATTAAATCAAAGTCTAATCAACTGGCATTTCCCCTGTCTGATTGGCACACCTACACTTTTAAGTGGAAGCTTAAAGTTATTTCTAAGTCTGGTTGGAATTCTTACAGTCTTGTTTCTGAGACAAGTTCTCCCATCTTTGCCTGAAACATGACTAAGGCTTTCCAGCAACCACTTGTTGAAAGTAAGTAGTAATTTGTTCTGGGACAGAGTTGTGGTTGAGTTTAGGATTCGAGGGGATGGGACAGGTGGGTGTTTAAAAATCCATGAATAAATGTGTAGGTCATCAAGCTCTCAATATTTATTATCGCACTGTCATCAAATGCTTTGCTTTGGGCATTAAACTTTGCACCTGCTGCTGAAAGCATCTGAAAGTCTTTTGTTTTCCAGCCCTCTGTGTCCCTGCCTCTCAGCTTTTGTGGTTGGGCAGTGCTCCGCGCAGTCTTTGTAAAACCACCAGACGTGTGTATTCCACAAGCACTCTTCTGGTTTCCATTCATGGTGTCTCCAAGATTGTGCTGGCTTCGTCCGAGATGATAACTGACTCATTTATCATTTTCTGGAACTCTTGTACCCTTTGCCAGATTCCTGTAGCCCACCTTTTGATTTTACGCTGTTTTTTTTTGTTTTGTTTTGTTTTATGTCTTCGAGCATTCAGCATCATTGGATAAATGTTTCAGGGATTATAATGGGCATTTGAAAACATAAAGAAATTCCTGATGGGCTTGTTTTGTGGGAAGAGCTTTCTACTTGAATGGGCTTTATAGAAATGTGGAGGAAGGCTGAACACATGATTCATTTTGATTCAGATTCTCTTGCATTCTGAGAAACACTAGAAAAGCCAAAATATTTTCTTGCCTTAACTGATTAAAACCCGGGAGTTATTTCACTTGTGAGTGAAGATGCTAAACTGTCTGATTTTGTCTTTTTAGTGTAAAGAGAGATTTCCCAGTTGCCAGTTTATTTTGAGAGCAATATCCCAAGAAAGAGAAGCTTTTGGCTGCGTGTCTATAAATTGGATTAATACTTACAATGATAGATGTTTAACATTGGTCTTGGACTAATTAATGAACTCTAGACTAGCCAAAAACTCAGGTTGCCTGTATGAAAACAAATTGCTGAAAAATTATCCATCGGGATGATTTTTTTAAATCACACTTCCCATTTGCTTATTCAAATGAGGCTTGGGTGGTATTGTGGGATTCGACTCGTGTGCCAAACCTCGAGGTACATAAAACTTGATGAAAGTGATTTGCAGCGTACCTCTTCCATGTCTGCAGGGTTCAGGACAGCAGCTGAAATTCTCTGTGCAGCGCAGGGTCAGGTGAAAAAAAACACCCATTGGATCTTAATCTAATATAAAATGATTTGAGAAACAGTAGCTGTCTTGCGTTGCCCAAGTCACAGCGAGGTTGTTCAAAAACTCATTAGCATGCCTAAAAAGAAACAGTCAAGCAGTGATGTTATGTCCATTTTCATGTTCTTCATTGGCATTCTGCGTTGTCATTCACCTTTGTTCCAGAAAGTGCCTTGGAGCCTTTTAGGGACGCTTGGAGCCGGACTCGGCCAGGCTCCTGCGGGGGGGCGTCTGACGGCAGTCCTGCTTTACCTTTGGCGGCTTGGAAAGGGAGATGTGTGCGACCCTGCCCTCGCTCACACGCTCTTATCTTCCCTTTTGCCAACAGAGCGTGCAGCATGAGAACACCTATAGGGATCCCATAGCAAAGTACTGCTACGGAGAGAGCCCTCCCGAGCTCTTCCCCGCCTGATGGGTGCAGAAGACTTGCCGCGCCTGCCCGCGGCTGAAGCACCTTGCAGCCTGAAGCCAGGCTTCTGCGGTCGCTCGTCCGTTGGAAAAAGAGAGAGGCGTCGTGCGGAAACCTTGGCTTTGACCGCGTCTTGTGTGGTGTTCTGGCTTCACTCCCCGCCGGGCTTTACCAGGTGGGACTGTTCTGTGAAGCAGCTTGGAAACACTTGAGGGTCACATTCGAAAAAGACAAAACTGCAGGTGACCTTGTGGAGGGGTTGGCCCTTTGGGTGCCTCCCCCATCGCAGCTGCTCAGGGACCCGTCGTCACTCACAGTTCTCGGGGCCCTTCACTGTAAAGTTATTTATTGGATTTCTTTGGAGTAGTGGGGAAATGATAACATTTAGGCAAATGCCTTGCCTCGATAGTTGAATATATTCAAGGAAATTATTGTTGTTTTTCTTGTGTTCTTGAGTGTCATGAGTTAACTCTTGCCTTCACCCGTTTCAGATAAAACGTTCGGCCCTCAGAAAGGGGAGTGTTCCTCGAGGTCGTTATTTTCTATTTTGTTTCAACAGCATCCTCAGGAATGGACCCTGAACACCGGATGCTGACATCTAAAATTGTCTAAAATCTCAAAGATACTGCTCCATTATAATCTGGCGCCAACTTGCGAGCAGCTGGCACCATGTGCGCTCAGATTTTTTTCTAGGGGTATTTGGGATCCTTGTATACCTGTGTGTGAACACTGTTTTAACCACCAGTTCTAACTGACTTATCCTGGAGGATTTTGTTCTCGTTTCCTGTGAAATGCCCCAATGACCCGCCCGCTCCGCCTGGTCCAGTGGGAGCCTCAGGAAAATCACCAGCAGCCTCCTCTCGTCTTCTGTCATGGAAACCCTGTGTCAAGGCGATTCCTCGATGGAGATACATCTAGGAACTGGCTCTAAGCAGCCATCCCTTACTGCCTCCAGCTGCAAGAGATGTAACAGGTACAGATATTCAGTGTCCCTATAAAAAAGAAGGAGGAAACCCAAGTGTCTGTCAAGGAGCTGTAAGAGCCTTACGTCTCCCCTAAGTGGGACCCGTGAATGGACGCTGGACATGCAGGGTGCTGGGCCACATGCTCTGGGGGCTCCCCATGTTCCCAGTACAACACTTAAGTCCTCCTGAGTCAAGGCTGAGAGCGTCTGGTCTGCAGATCAAGACGTGCCCCGTGAAGAGTACCGCTCTGTGCCCTCAGGAGTTCCATTCTCGCACAGCCCTTCCCTGAAGCCCCTCACCGACCGCAGGATCGAGCAAGGTCCTTTTCATTCTTTTTGTTGTTCACGTTGTTGACCTTGGAGCAGGGCAGTTTTACAATCTGCTTTCAACACTTTTTTTTTTTCCCAGTGGAGCTTTTTTTGGGGGAGCCATGTTTGCCTTCCAGCGTGTTTCTGCAGTATGTAGTAGCTATTCCCCTCAACTTCCTCCTGTTACTTAACACTAATCTTACCAAAGTAGTTTGTACCCCTAAATGTTTTCTTAGAGGGTGAACTGTCTGGTGGTTGTTTTTAAATGTTAGATCACAAGAAATGTATTCAGCTTGCAGTGGATTTTTCGGATTCTCTGTATTCATGGGTGCTAAATCAAACTTTGTATGTGAAAGAAATGTGCACATCTGGACGTCTCACCATCTCATTCTTTTTGGTAACTCCGTATGGATTTGAGTCTGTCTTCTGTTGGTCGTCACTAGCATCAGCCTCTTCTTTGGGCTTATTTCAACTCTTGAGCAATATAACATAGATTTAATGTGAAAGCAGTTCATGTCAATGGTGGTTAAACCTGTGCCTGTTTACTTTGTACTTGAATATTGACTAGCACACTTTGCATTTTCAGGGCTTTCACAGAGCAGTATCTACAATCTTGTGATGGAGAATTAAGCTCGCTTGTATTTGCACCTCCTGGATGAGGCAATAGTAAGAGGTGAAGTGACTTCCCAGACTCCCCACTGAGATTTAATGACGGAACCAAAACAAGAACTTCATCCCGGGCTCTGGGTTCACTGTCCTTCCCTCCACCCCTCGCCAGCTCCAACGCTGACTCATCCGTAAACATCCCCCCTGAGAGTGTATACATTTCAGCTGTCCGGGCCAAAAGAGGGGCGAGGTGGCATAAATAGCCAAATTGGGTCGATAATCCAAAGGTCATTTTCATTTGGCCCTGGAATATGTTTTTTGTACTTAGTGAGGGGCGTGTTCAGTCTTTTGGAAACTCCCAACGCTACAAACGACACAATGAAACCACCCAAGGACCTGAACTGCAGTCCTCCCCAGCCTTCCAACCCAGGACCCCTCCCTGCTCTCCAATCCCCGGTTGGTTTCTGGTTCCCGTGACTGAGGGATTCTAGAATTAGGGACTTCGTCTTAGTTTTGTCTGCCCAGAGCTTAGCAGAGTGCATATAGTACATGCTGCGATTTTAGGAAAAGATCAAAGAAGGGACAAAAACACCTTTAGAAAAAAATTATTAAATATTGAGTGTTTTGGAGCTAAAGGTAATTGAGTAATCCAAAGCATTTCTCCCAATCCTGAATCTTAATTGCTGTGCTCCTTGCTGGAGCAGTAAAGGTAAGACATGTCAACAGGGAAAGAAACACCCAGTAAAGTGGGAAAAGGGTGCTGAGACAGGCATATACAAAGGAGGGAATGGCTTACTTCTGCTGGGCCGGGGACTCTGCGTGGCCTGGGACCCCGCCATGCTGGAGCTGGCATTGAAGGGTGAGCTCAGCAGTCTTGAAAAGCAGAAAACAGGATTGTAGAGCAGTGACTGCAGCTTTCTGCCTGCTGCTCCCAAAAGCTGACTTGGAGGGTCTTGGGGAAGGCCTCAGGGGGTGTGGCAGCAACAGCACTCCGGGGAAGGGTTGTGCAATTTGCAAGATTCCAAGCAGTGCTTTTCCCATCGTTGAGATTTATAGATAAGTTGTAAATGTACAGAGATGTTGCTTATGTGATATAGTCACCGGCAGGAGAGAATTCTAGTTGTGCCTCATAGTAACTATTCCTTAATAATGGTGTGCCCTTTCATCTATAAAGTAGGATCACATCTGCCCCTCATAAGGTTATGCAGTATTGGGGAGACGCGGTGCTCTGCAGGAAGTCTGGTCTGCACCTAGCAAGGGGGTGATGTCAGATAGTGGTGAGGTGGGGATAGGTGGGCCCCTCGGGTGGAAGGGTAGTAATTACAGACTCTTGGTATTGTTTTGATTACTATTTTTAAAAGAACTCATGCCAGGGCTGGCCGAGTGGCTCAGTTGGTTAAGAGCTCGCTCAAGAGTGCTAGCTCTTGAGCAACAGGGTTGCTGGTTTGATTCTCGGCCCGAGCTGAGCTGCTGCTGAGCTGCCAACAGCTTAAAACAAACAAACAAAAACTCATGCTAAAGATAAAAAATTTCAGGGCCGGCCGAGTGGCGCGATGGTTAAGAACTGACTTGGGACGCCAGAGGGCCT